GGTAGGCTGCCGCGTTGCGAGGATATCCTCTGACAGGAGCACTCTTCCGGCGTCGCCCAGGAGAGTCAGGGCGCGCGCGCGATCAAGCTCCAGGCGCGTGTGATGTGAGAATGGGAGGCAGTTCCCGCCAAGGTCACCAACCTGTTCTGGGCGAGTTTTATAGAGGCTCCACTGCGATACCTGGGGAACGTGGCCTTATTCCGTGTCACGGCACGCGTGAGAGTGCGGAAGTAGCTCGGGGTTCGCTCTGCGGCAGGAGGGCCCAGGCGATGCTACGCCGCTACTGCCAGGGCGCGGGGGCGGGGTGGATGTTGGGGAGCACCAGCTCGCCTTGACGCTTGGTACTACATGCACTCCAGCCTGGGCAACAAGAGTGAAACTCTGTCTCAAAACAAAACAAAACAAACAAACAAAAAACACAAGTCTAATAACCTGCCGTCATCATTGTCTTTGTTCAGACTCAAACCATGGCCTGCTGGACCCACGGGGTCTGCTTTCACTGGGCTGTTTTGGGAAGAGCATAAGGGTAGGTGGGAAGGCATGCATGAGGCCTCTGGGGAGGGAGGATGGCCCTCCCTTGGGCAAGACAAATGCGTGAACCTTGGGCTGAGTGGCAAGATTGCAGTGCATTGAGGTGGGGAAGCCGTGTCCCATTAGCCCCATTAGTATGTTTAAGGGGCTGTAGGAAAGACAGTGCACCTAGTGGGGTGGCAAACGCAGGAGTCCTAGCAGGAAACAATAGCTGCCCTGACAGCAGTGAAGGGCAGAAAGGGACAGATTCAGGATAGGAAGGAGAGGACGCGGGTGACTTTAGAGAAAGTCTCAACCCCAAGGGATGGGGCCTGGAGGATTAGGGCAAAATGGGGGTGGAAGAGCCTGCCCAATAGGCTAGGATGAACATAGGAAGGAGAAACCCAGACCCTGACCTCTCTCAGGCAGCCAAGGGAGGTGAGAGCTGCAGCTTCAAGGGTTATTTTCCTTTTCTCTCTAAAAATCTTATGACAAGGCCGGGTGTGGTGGCTCATGTCTGTAATCTCATAATTTCAGCACTTTGGGAGGCTTAGGCATTCGGATCATCTGAGGTCAGGAGTTCAAGACCACCCTGGCCAACATGGTGAAACCCTGTCTCTACTAAAAATACAAAAATTGACTGAGTGTGGGGGCTCATGCCTGTAATCATAGCACTTTGGGAAGCTGAGACAGGTGGATCACCTGAGGTCAGGAGTTCAAGACCAGCCTGGCCAATACCTGGGCGTGGTGGCAGGCACCTGTAATCCCAGCTACTCTGGAGGCTGAGGCAGGAGAATAGCTTGAACCCGGGAGGCGGAGGTTGCAGTGAGCCGAAATTGTGCCACTGCACTCCAGCCTGGGCGACAAGAGCAAGACTACATCTTAAAATATATATATATATACACACACACATATAAACACATACATATATACATATATACATATATTCATATATACATATACGTGTGTATATATACACACACACATAAATATACAAAAATTTGCTGGGTGTGGTGGCGGGCGCCTGTAGTCTCAGCTACTTGGGAGACTGAAGCAGGAGAATCCCTCGAACCCAGGAGGCAGAGGTTGTAGTGAGCCAAAATCGCACCACTGCACTCCATCTCAAAAAAAAAAAAAAAAAGGGCCTGGTGTGGTGGCTCATGCATGTAATCTCAGCACTTTGGGAGGCTGAGGTGGGCAGATCACCTGAGGTCAGGAGTTCCAACCTAGTCAAAGTGGCAAAACCCTGTCTCTACTAAAAGTACAAAAATTAGCCAGGCGTGGTGGCAGGCGCCTATAATCCCAGCTACTTGGGAGGCTGAGGCAGGAGAATAGCTTGAACCCGGAAGGCAGATATTGCAGTGAGTCGAGATCACGCCACTGCACTTTGATCTGGGCAACAAGACTGAGACTCCGACTCAAAAAAATAATAATAGGCCAGGCGCAGTGGCTCACGCCTGTAATCCCAGCACTTTGGGAGGCTGAGACGGGCGGATCACGAGATCAGGAGATCGAGACCATCCTGGCTAACATGGTGAAACCCCGTCTCTACTAAAAACACAAAAATTAGCCGGGCATGGTGGTGGGCGCCTATAGTCCCAGCTACACGGGAGGCTGAGGCAGGAGAATGGCGTGAACCCGGGAGGCGGAACTTGCAATGAATGGAGATCGCGCCACTGCACTCCAGCCTGGGCGACAGAGAGAGACTCTGTCTCAAAAATAATAAGAAGAAGAAGAAAAGAAAAAGAATGTGTATATATGTATACGTGTGTATATATGTATACGTGTGTGTGTGTGTGTATAGGAACCCAAAGAACTTATCACTGGTTGTGGGGGCATTTCAAGGAATAAATGTGTACCTGAGAACACAGGTTTGACAAATAGGGAGGAGGGCAGTGTGGCCTGCAAATATTAAAAACTCCAGGCTAAGCCCAAGGCCTGAGATGGGAAATGGCGGCCATTGAGGGAAGACTCTGTGAGAGCACAATGACCACAGATGTGAAAGG